GATGTCGGGGAATTAAGGGAATGTATCTTCAATGACACCTTCCGGTTTATAGTTTATCCATTTTCATCATTTGCATTTCCTTTACGACTTGAATGGCTGATTACGTTTTTCGTTTAGTTACGTATCTAGTCTCGAATTTCCTCTTATGGCTAATTTGATCATGATCTCTTTCTTACAGGTGTGGACATTGTAAGAGTCTAGCTCCTGAGGTAATTGTGGTTCCTTGTTTTGATTTTAACAATAGAGGCGATATATGGTTTTCAATTGTATAGTTATCTAATTGCAATGCATGATCGAACAATGTCGTTTGAATTGTGTATTCTTTGGCTGACTTGTGAATTTTTTATTTATTTTTCATCAAACTTGTAGTATGAGAAGGCTGCATCCTTGTTGAGCAGTCACGACCCTCCAATTGTTTTGGCGAAGGTTGATGCCAATGAGGACTCGAACAAGGAACTTGCTTCTGAATATGATGTTAAGGGTTACCCTACATTGAAGATTGTGAGGAATGGTGGGAAACACATTCAGGAGTACAAGGGTCCAAGGGAAGCTGAAGGAATTGTTGAGTATTTGAAAAAACAAAGCGGTCCTGCATCTGTTGAGATTAAATCTGCTGATGATGCTACCACTCTCATTGGGGAAAAAGTTGTTATTGTGAGTCGTTCTTCCCCTTATGTTCTAATTTCTGATTTTGTTTTTGCGTTTAGCTATTCATATATATCGTCTACTTCAGGTTGGGATATTCCCAGAACTCTCTGGTGAGGAGTACAAAAGCTTCCAAGCCTTGGCTGAGAAGTTGCGCTCTGACTATGAGTTTGGTCACACTACTGATGCAAAGCTCCTACCAAGGGGTGAGTCATCTGTGAAGAAGCCCACCCTTAGGTTGTTCAAGCCTTTTGACGAGCTTGTGGTTGACTCTCAGGTATAGCAAGTTACTCATTTCAAATTTCTTGCAACATAGCAGTTTTTTACAGTAGTTTCGTGAGCTGATGTAACTTTGTGATAATATGTAGGATTTTAATGAGGAAGCTCTGGAGAAGTTTGTTGAAGAATCCAGTATTCCTACTGTGACTCTCTTCAGCAAGGACCCAGCACACCATCCCTATGTTATTAAGTTTTTTAACTCTCCCAATGCCAAGGTATATATGTTTTATCTTCTGTACAAACTTGATGGAGTTGTCCTTGACTAGTTTGGTAATGAGTCACCACATGTTTGGTCATAACTAAACTTTCTGATGGCTGTGACCATTTTAAGTAGCACATAGAACATTTTGATTCTAATATGCACATGTGGAGTGTGCAATTTTGCATAAATACCTGATTGCATTTAAACACCAGTAATTTGGCTAACAACAGAAAATTTAAGTAGGAAACCCTTTTTTTTTTTTTAAAGTTAAATATATAAAGTATGCACCGAGTTGGATCTTTATCTGCTGTTAGGCACTGTCTCCTCTGTTTAAACTTGATGCTTATGTATTGTATGTCTGGATTTTCTGTTGCTTTATTTTTAATTCTCGTCTTAAGCTGTGTGGAGATATCATGTAATTGAGGTTTCTTAGTAGTTGTTTATGTCATTCTAGTGTCAGATTCGTCATTTAATTGCTTACTGAATGACATTTTAGTTTTGCTTATGTATAATCTCTCTACCAGAATTGTAGTCTAACTGGGGGTATCTTTTCCATCACCACTCGTCTCCTCATGGTCAGTGCCGCAAGTGCACTTGATTTGTGCATGCAGACTAAATGTTTACCATGTTGAAATTCTGACTAATTTTTCTTCTATGCTACTGTTATCCTGTTATTTTCACGACTTCACCTTCTGTTGATTCTCCTCATTGTTCTATGGCTTAACAAGGTTGTTTTCAATTGTATCAGGCCTTGTTGTTCATGAACTTCAGCATTGATTACGATACATACAAGTCAAAGTATGAACAAGTTGCCAAAGAATACAAATCAAAGGGTATTAGCTTTTTGTTGGGAGACCTTGAAGCGAGTTCTGGAGCACTACAGGTAGATTAATTTTTTCTGTATATTCTAGCTAATTTTGTGCTGTCATTGTCATTAACACTATGAATTAACTGGTATCAATGTTTTTGTTCAGTATTTTGGACTTAAAGAGGACCAAGTACCTCTCATTATTGTCCAGACCAACGATGGGAAGAAATATGTTAAAGATAAAGTGGAGGCTGATCAAATTGCATCATGGATCCAGGATTACAGTGTAATTTATTTTTTATTAGCATTTTCAATTTCTTTTTTTTTTCTTTTTTTTTTGCCATAGTTGAGGTTTTACTAGTAAAAGTTATATATGCCTGAATAAGCTAATTAACTGGACAATTGTGTGATATTTCAGGAAGGCAAGGTGGCTGCACACAGGAAGTCAGAACCCATCCCTGAAAGCAACGATGAACCTGTTAAGGTGGTTGTTGCTGACACTCTTCAAGATATAGTTTTCAACTCCGGCAAAAATGGTAAGGATATTTGGTGTCCTTTGTTATCTTATTGAGGCCCATATTCATTCTTACATGTATTTATCATTTTTTAATTACTACAGTTTTTTTGGAGTTCTATGCACCCTGGTGTGGACATTGCCAAAAGTTGGCTCCGATCTTGGATGAAGTTGCTGTTTCTTTTGAAAATGATAAAGATATTGTCATTGCCAAGCTTGTAAGAATCTCTCCTTGTCACTTAAAGAACTTTCCCTGTTGCGTTTTCGGAAAACTTATTTCTGTTCTAAACTTTACAATCATTATTAAATTCATGTCTATGGTGTTTTGAATGTGTAATTTGCATATACATTCTAGTAATAAGGCTTTATTCACTAATCACTACCAGATGATGGCTTATTCTAGTTTGACATGAGCCATTTTTGTGCCTCCTAAACTTTTGATTTTACAATAATCTACTTTGTAATTGGCAAGTGTTGTCATATTTACGAGTCTTAGAGAATATCTTAGAGTAGTTCAAGCTAATTCGAGCCTGATGAATGCAGGATGCAACTGCAAATGATCTCCCAGATGACACCTTTGATGTCAAAGGTTACCCAACTTTGTATTTTAGAACAGCAAGCGGGAATGTTCTATCATATGATGGAGACAGAACCAAGGAAGAAATCATTGATTTTATTCAAAAGAACAGGGACCCAGCTGCTAAGCAATCTTCTATTGAGGAAACTTCATCTGAGCAAACTACATCTAAGGACGAGTTGTAATTTAGGTAAAAATTTTACTGTCTCATTTTGATTTCAATAAATGGTGGGAAAAGTTTACAAATGAATGCAGAGACACTAGTTATGCTATCAACTTCCACTATATTCAAAGATAATCGCCTTTTTAATTTTATTAAGGATAGAAAATTTGTGTATCACTATAAAAATTGATTTAATAGGAATGTTTTCATATATTTAGTAGTTGAAACTCATTTTGGCAAATATTATTATGTGGAATGAGCTTTTTAACCTCAAAAGTCAAATTATTTTACGACAGTACTCCTTTAAAGTTTTGAGGTTAATTTTGCATCAGAATGATTTTTTGTATATACATTGTTTCCATATGCATTTTTATGGACATGGTAAACCGCCAGATACTAAGAAGCTTTTGGATTTCTTTTCTACAGGAAAAAGGATCTTAAGATGGTGGAATTCATGGACAGGAACTTAATTTATACCACAGGACGTCCATTGATTAGCTATATGTTAGATTCGCGACATAAGCTAGCATGGTGGTCTGCCCCGGCTTTTGCCATCTTCCTGATTATCCTTGTCTTTCTCGTTACTTTGTATCATGCACTCTCTTTCTCTCTCTCTTTTCTGTAATAAATTTAAGGCCTTGCTTTGTGGCTTTTTAGATCTTACGATTTTGGAGGTAGTTTAATTAGTCAAGGTGTATCGTCGAGATCTAAAGTTGCCATGGATTTTTGATTGGAAGAATGTTTATGTTATGTTAGTTAACTTCATTTTGCTGGCCCATTCTCACTCCGAGAGTTCTCGATCTTAAGTCACTTGATTAACATGTTCTGCTAAAGATTCTAGCCTTGCTTTTAACAAGTCTAATTGTGGATTTTCAATATCTCAAGGCTTGTTGAAGGAAGAATAGAATGTTTATGCTTCTCTTTTAGTAGAGAAACATTAGCTCAAGAGTTAACATTGCTGTCACAGACCATAATTTGCAGCGTTATAGTTACAATTAGGGGCTTTACCTTGTGATTTTGAGGTCATGTGTCCGAACCCATATCCTTTTTCCAATACCAAAGAACAATTGTAGAATGAACTTGAGGTGATGTGTTCCCAACACCCAAGAACCAATGTAAAAGAGTGACCATATTTATAAACGACGCCTAATCAAACCATTCAGCATAAATGGGTTTGGGTTAAAAGACTGACTTGTATAATCGACTTCAAAATTAAAACCTGCTTGAAATAGTCTTGAAATAATGAAATCAGCTTATAGTACAAAACTACAAATGTACGAGACTTAAACTGAAACTGATCAACTGAGTACAAAGTTTTGAGTTCCTTGATTTATGCTCATTTGAGGTCCTTTAACTCCTTGCGACAATTTTCTAGCTATTCTTTTCTCGACTTATCGTCTTGTGGGTTTTGTGTTCACTTTACACTCAGGTGTACCATTTATCTAGTATTTCGTATATATTCACTTTTTCTTATTAGTTCACAAATGAATATTTTAAATTCACAAAAATTGCCAATGACTCAAAGAATTTGTTTTTGGTGAACATGACTCAAGAGTATATATAAAGTACTGTAGTATATACATGGGATTATACACGTATGATGGAAATTGATCCTGATTTGAATTTTGAACTAAATCTTTGAAAAAACATTTTGCCATGAGAGTCTGATACATAATGGTTGATTGTTTACATCAAAATAACAGAATATATCACTTGTCATCTAATTTATTTGATGTAAATGTTGATGGATATGATGGCTAAAAAGCTTAAAACTTTACATTTGGTCATATGCATGTACCATTAGTCCATTACTAAGATCCATCAAAATATGTAAGTCAAAATTTCTTAGAAATATACACTACATTGCTTGAATTCTTAACAGCATGATTTTAACACTCCAAACTACTTACAAGCTACAACAAGAAGACAATCTCTAGAGGTCCAAGGCTCATACAAGCATATATTCGAGGGGAAAAAAATCATCTAACTCTAATTCGTGCACTTGTACCATAGGGAATTAAGGATTTATGACTCGACTTTACAGAAAATGTAGCCAATGACTGATCTCGCTATTCAATTCATATTGTCAAGTATAAGATTGCTAATCAAAAAAGAGGGTAAGAAGATTCGAAATCATCTATTTAAACAAAGTTTTCGTTAGGTTCATCTATATCAAACTGGCTAAGAGGGTGCAACATTTCTTTAATTTCATAAACTATGCCTAAATTAAGATAGATTTATTCACATTACAAGTTCATCTTGGATATTTCAACAAATTTCTCTATTTCATAGCTAATTTTATTGGTTTCATCTTCAATGGAATTGGTGGTGTAATCTTCACGATGATCAGCAATAATTTTTATAATTTCTTCCTTGGAAATTTTATTGTCATTTGGTGCTAAAAAGTTGGTCTTTTTATTATTTTCTTCATTTTCAGAACTTGTACTTGGTGTAGCTTTGAAGACACGTGGTTGCAACTTCTTCAAATCCGATAATCTTACTGGTTTTAGCAAGAATTCCTCTGCTCCTTCTAGACACCTATTCAAAGTTCATTGCAACAATTTTAATTATTACGGAGTACTTTGTTCGTACATGTGACACATAGACAAATGGTCTCTATTTCGCAAAACTAATTAAATACGGAATAGTTAAAATTAATATGTTGCACAACGTCAATGATGTATGATATGAGTAATTATAAAAATATTATATTGAATTTTATAAGTTTCATTTATAGGAATACTTGATTAAGTAACAAGAATCCTTCTATACAAGTAATTTTTTATTTATTCAAAATTTCACTAAATTTCACTAATTTTTTTTTTCTCCTGGTCTTCCCAATATAACCTACTTTTTACCTATTTTATTACTACGCAGAAGAGATTAAAAACAAAAATCCTTACCCTCTCGGAGTCTAATTAAACCATGTTAGGCCCTATTTCGATTTTTATTTTATACTCCGTATTAATTTAAGCTGATTTTTTTATTTTTTATTTTATTTATTTTAGAGAGCCATAAGGGCGGGTGAGAATCAACCTCAGGATTTCCTGAAATCGGGAGGAAAGCTCTAGCCACTTGAGATAATTATGAAGCTAAAGGTTTGTTCAATTCAGCTTAATTTCAGTTTCAGTTCAGTTCAACTCCTAATTTCTTTCGTTCTCTTATAAAATTCATTTCAGCTCTATTGTTCAGTTCAGTTTAGCTTCAATCAATTCAGTACAGTAAATGTGAACAGACTCTAAGTGGGCCCTTATTCATTAATCAATGACTAAGAGTAAGTGAATTATTTGTATAGTGGACAAGATTTTCTTACAAATTCAGATCATACGGTGCCCTTATACTACGGGGGATATATTAATCACCATCCATGTGGATGGGAATCTTTTGCTAATTTTAATTTTTTTAATTTTGACATATCTTTATAAATCAAATATAACTATTACTTTCTAATCTTTCCCTTGTAATCCTCTAGATTTTGTTACAATTTTTAATAGCCACTATGATCATCAATAATGAAATGTTCAAATGTACATTGTTTTGAAAGATAACTAACGAACTTTGAGAAACGAAACTTGATATAGACGAAAAGAGATTAATTAAACAAAATTAAGTCATTAATTAGGCTATTTTTAGTATAAGAAAAGTCATAATGAAATACTACCAAGGACACCATGTAAAACGAATACTAATTGTAGCAATCAAATAAGCATCACCTAGATACTAAGAAAAGTCTAAATCACTAGAGTAGTACTATAAAGATATCTTTAATTTTTATATACTCTATAATGCTATTAAATATAAAATTCTTGGTAAAGCATCATTTTCGAATGAATCCTTGATATCTAATTACATATATCTAGTCGTATTATATTTGGATATTAGGAATAATTGTGTTGCTACTTTTTTTATTTATTATTTTTTTATATCAAATGCAATTTTTAAAAGGGATTACTTAACATAACTAAATATACAATGGTCGGTATAGATTGGAATGGAATACACATTAGATATAGTATCATACTACTACTATTATGACATTTTAAATGGTCTATTTCTTAAGACATATACCTTAAAATTTTTTACAAAACAAATTGTGTAATTTACAATCACGTACAACAATAATGTAGACCATATTTAATTCCGAAATCTCGGGCACACTTTTAAGACTTCATATCACATACTTGTATCATTACATTGAAAATTTAAAAGTTGTTATTAGGTAGATTCACCCCAAAAAAAAGTAAATCTAATGAAGTGAATAAAATAATATAGTTTATGAGATTGCAATATACAAATAAATGGGAACAAGGTTGGGCCATTAGATAATAATCAAAGATCCTACAGCTCACACGAATTGCATCTTTTCAATCAAACCAATAATAATAATGTAGCATCACATTTTGACTTAATATTTTCAAGGGGGACAAAATATGCACCAAGATTCTTTAAGATTTTCTCATATCATATAAAGATAACTTGGGATCTCAATTATGTTATTTAGTTAACGTCTAAGTATTAATTTTCAACGCAAAATTATAAAAATATTTACTTTAATTAAGTTATTTTAGAAAGAATAATATATTTTTCTAAAAAAAGAAAAAGAGAATAGTCCATTTTTAGAAAAAGGTGAGAAAAGGAGATGAGCTTACATGTGAATTCTTGAAGGAACATTCTCAGAAGACATCACAACCACTGGTACATCTTTCCAGGAGGATTCCTGCCAATTTGAATGAAATTTCCCGGAATTATTAGCCTTTTTTTTTGTTTTTATTAAAATGGTAAGGTAGTAATGACAACCAAATTGGTACGAGTAGCTGGTTATAAAACGTGGTATTGCCCGATGGTAATAAATTTAAATGTAATCTGACAGTAAAAGTAAGGTATAAAGTAAATAGTCACGCATCAACAAATCCTTTTGTTTTCTTCATAAATATTCATTACCATCCAAACCCCTTAAGCGGTAATAAATGGTAATGACAAATTGTGGAAGAAAAAGAGATAATTTGAGGTGAACTAACATTTTCATGTGAATGATCAATGATTTCTTTTTAACAAGTTTATATTCTTGTAGTAATTGTTACCAGTACTACTTAACAAATGAGCCATAATAATAGTACTAACAAATCAGTGATATTTTATAGTTAAAAAAATAAAAAAAAAATAAAAAAACACAAAGTTGCTAGGGAAATATATATTGAGTTTAGAGTAAAACCTTGACTCTTTTTAGTAGATCATAACCAGCTATTCCTGGCATGGAATAGTCTGTCATTATCAAGTTCACTCTTGTTCCTTGTCCCTGCTTAAGAAATTGAGGATATCATATTAAAACAAGCAATTAATTTGACGAATTTGTTAAACATGTAGTAATCTTCGAAAATAGGATATCTTAGGTAATGAAGCTTCCCCAAATAACCAAATACATAAACAAAAAGCTTTAGTACGATCATGCACAAGGTACAAACAGTTCATTAAGTCTAACAACATTAACTTACAATGTTTTTTCTCGATTTTAGGTTAGATATATATACAGTCAATTACTACCCAAGTAAAACTTATTTTTCATGTATTAGAAGTTTCATAAAATGTATATTATAGATTCTTACCCTACTAATGATCTTTTTTCAAACAATTAGTAACCATATAGAAGTATAAACTTGTTCATTTAAGGAAATAGCATCTCACTACGTCAAAATGTGTTATTACTACAATTAGAAACTTGATAATGAAGTCTTCATCATATATTATTATGACATTACATTCGTAATAATTAAGGAGATAAACACAACACAAAGATGCTTAAATCTTTGGTTAACCATAATCTTCCTTCCAAATTATTTTTACTAAATATTTACTCGTATAAGTTAATGAGGTCCAAAATATGAGAAATAAATTACTTCGTAAGTTAGAACAACAGTTGACATAGTACCTTAATTTATGAAAGTATAATTGGTGATAGCTTGCAGTTATGTGCTTATATAAATGCACTCAAATTAATTGTTCTACCTTCACGATTTATTAACTTGGAAATAAATATTTTTACCAATACATTTAAGTAATACGGAGTATATAAAAGGCTAATCAAATCGATTATTAGTTTAAATTACAATATTACTATTAGTTTAAATTATAGAATTATCAACATGACTATAAATTTCGTATATATCAACTCCGGACTAGTATGTAGAAATTAATCACCGACGAGTAACATTAATGATCTCTTTAGTTTTAATTTATAATTAGTGAATTAGGTGCATGCATTATTATCACTTTTGAAACCAAATTGAAGTTGTTCAGATCTAGTAGTACAAGAAGCTTTTGGTGCCAACTTTCTCTCCTTTTTTTTTTAATTCTTTAGAATCAAAATAATATAAAATCACTTAACAGATCTTTGTTTAAAATCAAAAGCAATCCAAATAAACACTTTTGTAAGAAAATATATTCTTGCCCTCTATATTTCAGTCACTAAATAAATAATATGATACTGTATGATATGATATGATACGATATAATATGAGACTCTGGCTGGCCTTGTGTTCCGCCCTGTACGGCGGTACACACTATGGCCGGCCGGCCTCGAAAAAAAAAAGGAAAACTATGAGGAAGAGAAAACTCACTTGGTGGTGGTGATGAACATTATCAGGTAATGGAAGAGAAGGACAAATCATGGAAACTTCAACATCATCATCATCATTACCATCATCATGATCATCATTAACATGATCATGATGATCATCATCATCATGAAGAACATGACCATCATCATTAATAACTGGATTATGACAATTCACTAAGCCCAAATACTCCAAAGCCTTATCCCCAGATTCAACGCAAGTCACTACCCATTTAACAAAATAATAATCATTCAGAATCCCGAAATTAATAGTCACGTTGATAGAGTAATTCGAAATATGACAACTAATTCCAGACAGAACGAGGTTTATGAGAAAAAAGGATATTAATACATACCATGGTAGGAAGAGATGGTAAGGAGCTTTTCTAACATTTTACGTTCGATGATACTATCATCAACGGCTAATACATGAAAATGCTTATTTTCTTCATTTTTCGGAATTATAATTTGGGTTTTTGCTTCCATTTTTCTTAATAAAAATGGGAAAAATAAAGGAACAATAGAATAAATTTTTTAGGTAGAGAAATATTGAAATGATAATATAGAGATCCAAAATATATAATGTTGTAATGAAGAATGAGAATTGTAAAACTCGGGTTTGTCCACTTGTATATATATAGTACAAAGAGAAACAAAAAAAAGGAAGGTAAAAAAAAAAAAAAAAATTTAAATTAAGTTTAAATTACTATAGAAAATTTAAAAAAAAAAAAAGAAAAATGTTTGCCGTAGGTGATACTAAAGGGAGTAAGAGAAAGAGTTGGGAAGATCTGTGAATAGATTCTGCCGTTCACACGTCGGTACAACTCACTGAGTTTAGTGGGGTCAATTGGGTCCACTTTCATATTGTCTCTCTCTCATTACCATTTTCTAATTATATGTGTGCAGTGGCATGCAATTTTTTTAACTTTCTTTTACTATACACAATTACTTTTGATTAACCTAGTAGTAAATGTTTGTTTCGTGTTTGGGTAGAGATGGCAATGGATCGGGTGAATTGGATCGTAGAATGGGGGTGAGGTATGACATGATGCAACATAGTATGATTGAGGTAGGGTTGGGCATGAGGTATGAGAATGGAGGGGTTGTGTACTTGTGTGTGTATGTTTGATGGCGAGACGGGAAGATGTGTCGAAGTGGTTGCTGAGGTAGAGACTTGACGTTTGAAGAAAGCTACCTAATTATACAAATAACAACTAGTTAGATACTTAAATGGCGCGAACTCAACTCGTAAAGTATGTGGGTTGGACTGTAGATAACAATGTAAAGATTAGCTTTTGTTGACACATCAATGTAAAATAACCCAATAGGTTATATCTAATAGTCAAGATCCGAGCATAAAAAAAGTATGTAAATTAGTCTTTCTTAACAGATTGACTATGGGCTTGTTCACTTCAGCTTAATTTCAGTTTATGTCTAATCAGTTCAGTTCAGTTCAACTCTTAATTTCCTTCTCTCATAAACTATTCATTTCAGCTCTATTCAGTTCAGTTCATCTCCAATCAGTTCAGCTCCTACTTTCCTTCTCTCATAATTAAACTATTCATTTCAGCTCGATTTCTACTCAGTTCAGCTCTAATCAGTTCAGTTTAACTACAATCAGTTTAGTTCATTAAATGTGAACAAGCCCTATGTATATATAATTCAACGTCCAGAATTTCAGCAATGTAATAACCAATAGACGCATCACTATATCATATCATTTATAAAATACACATATGTACACAAAAAATCTTTTGTGGTTAAACATTAGGTTATGTACATATATATGGTAAAGTTGATTTGGGATACATGAATAAAATATTACACCTTGTAAAAATCGTGAGAATAATAGATTCTAGAGACAATATAATATAATTAATGTTGATCATTAAGGATCCCAGAGTTGATTTAGGGTAGGATTACGTTGATGACTTATAGTAAAGTATAGATTAAAATGAACAGTAAAAATTGTAAAGAAGATCTTCAAGTCAAAGAAAGATAGTAGTATGGTATCAAAGTGTAATCATGTTACTCGTGCTATATCACCCTTCTTTATCTTTTTTATTTTTACTGTTTGTCTAGATTTTCTTCACATGTGCTTTATTTTTACCCTTTCTCCTTTGCAGTAGTATCCGAGCTAATCAACACAAATGCTTTCATGTATCCTATTGCTTCTTAATTATTCTTCTTTTTTAAAAAGAAATTATAAATTTATTTTCATTTTTGTATTAATGGCTAGATGCTTAGATTTATCCATTATCATAGTAAAATTTAACGGTAATTATAATTTAATTTATTAAACAATAATTGATGATCAAGTAAAAAAAAATTATAGATGTATAGAAGCATAAATGGTAAAGTAAAATAATATTAAATATATAGTTAGCCGCTTTGTTCATTCAGTCATTCATACAAAAATGAGCAAATTGGGTAATTGTTTTGCATCAAGTACAACCAGTTGTATGGTGAATAAAAGGTTAACATGCACTAGTTTCATCTAGATGTTTCTCACACCATCAATTTATGAAGGTTAAAGTCGAGCTGTAAATTTTATTAATGTAAATCAAGTTTCACCAATACAGCTATGCGAAGATCCTTAAGATCGGATGTACATATCCCATTTCGATCTCAATCTCCTATAGCATACAAATAATATATTATCAATAAAATGGATAGAGATGTGTACATATAATTAGAGGGGGAAAAAAAAGATGCAATGAAGATTGAGATATTGCGTGCCATTCCAAATGGATATCATATCATGCGTCCAAGATTTTGAAGGACCACAAATGTTTCGTCAAAGGATATGTATATCTTAAAGATATAAAATCTTGGGTAGTTGAGGCCTACTAATACATACATTCATTTCATTTTATTATTAGCCCCATATCTATTTTAGCCATATTTATCCATATTTTGTGTTTATTTTTGGTGAGATATAACATGGTGTAATTAAGATAAATCTAACTATTAACATGCAATTAATTAGTTGTACAATCTAAAGATGAACAGTCCAACATCAATTTTAATTTTGAAAGAGATTCGAGATAATATATGCATGTTACATACTTCTATACTAAGGGAAAAAAAAATCATAATTAATGGATCCTATGCATAGTAGCCACTACTAAGTGTTGGTCTTTATATGGTAAATTTGATCGTGGAAGTCGATTTCAAATCATGGTAATTGTTTTTACCCTTATAGATCGAAGGAGTGCATGTCAAACAATGATGCAAGTTGATTTTTAGTTTTATTCTCATTTTCTAATGGTCGATAAAATTTAAGGTTACATTAAAAATGAAACAAATAAATAAATTATTTTTGATAGAGATGTATTCATATATATAATTGATTTTTGAGGAATCAATAAAGATATATAAAATCGCATAAAATTTGAAGATATTTTAAAATAAAGAAGGCTATACATGGAATGATGTAGATAAAAGATTTAAATTTTAAGTTAAGACTTAAGAGTGTTACCCTAAAAATTCGCTCGCATCCTTTATACTACTGTACCTTCATTTTATATATTTTCATTTTTTTGCACGATTATACATTTTTTTACTCACGTACTATACACTCTATGTTTAAATCATTGCAACTAGTATGAGACGGAGGTGTTATTAAGTGTACATTATTTAATAGATGTGGTGTTGTCGTGTTGATGCAAACAAGGTTCAAATTTAAGTATAAAATCATAAATGCAATGATGTTGAATAAGGCTATTCTACTCGGCTTATTTTTCTTCTTTTAGAATATATAAGTAAGTTCATATAAGATAATTTCTGGAAAGATAAGTTCTAATAAGGGTTGATAATTAAGACTATTCAAATTCAAAGTGCAACTTAAATGAGTTTAAATAAATTCAAATTACTTTATATTCTACACTAATATTATGAATGTTATTTAGATATGGATATCAAATTAAACATCAATAGAGGAGTTCCCAAAAGAACATTGTCATTAACCTTCATGATTTTGCTTTCGAATAGTTACTAAATGATATGATATTCAAAATTAATAAATAAAACAATTACAATGTTTGTAATAATTAAAATGACATTGCAGACACGTAAAAAAGATCAAATATTGCATACATACATACCACTCCGTTTTTAAAGTGTTTTATTATGACTTTTTGCACTATTCATCTGACCCATTTTAACCAATATTTTGATTTATACATAAATAAAATATAATCTTGTGAGTATTTGTTGAAATCGTCTCAATGGATAATTTATTACTCCGTAATATTCAATTCTTATCATTTATACTTTATTGATAATTGGTATATATGTGTCTAGTTAAAATAGATCACTTAAGTAGAAATAGAGGAAGTATAAGTAATAAATGGAATACTACGAATAAGTAGATAGAACACAAAATAAATTTAAAGTAGAAATTTAAAAGAACATTGCACAATACAAAAGTTGAAAGAACACAAAAGTTTTTACATGGTGCACCCAAATGTATAGTAAAGTACGAAGTATAATTTAAATTGCATGATGGTATGAATTTTATTTTTGTGACCTATCTCTAACCGACCTAACATTCCTAGCCATTTGTAATACTCTACTTTCTTTTTATTTATTTTTTATTTATTTTTTATTTTTTATTTGTATGTCTTTATATCGTCAAAAAAAAAAAGAAAAAAAAAAAGTTGAATGTCTTTATTTGTTTATTTTTATTTATTTTGATAAATTAAATGTTTAGTTTTACTCCTATTATTGTTTTTTTTGGAATGTAAATGAACCATATATCTTGAGACTTGAGATTTGGTACGAGTATATTATCTTTTTATTTATTTTATTTTGTTGTTCGTACTTCTCTTAAACATAATTTTCAATTGCAAGGGTCCACTTAGATTTGGCGTGTCACATGAATAAGAAAATTCTTATCTTCTTTTTCATTCTTACTCCAACATAAGACTTTTTCTATTGTTTTAAGGGATATATAGGAGATGGTTGCTCAAGTTGTAAAGTCCTAATTTGATTGTTAATCTACATTCTACAGGGTGGAAAATAAGTACGTAGTGTACGTTATTACTAGTGTATCACTTGCAAAGTATATCGTATCATGTCCACTAGCAAGCTAGCTAAGTCATATAGCTAGAAGCCTAGAAGTCTATAACTACGACATGCATATTATCTACTCTCTATCACACGTTCACATAACATTAGGGTTTGTTTTCTTCAGATTATTTTCACTTCATTTCTTAATCTTCTTCTCTCATAAAATATTCAGTGCAGTTCAGCTCCAATAAGTCCAGTTCAGTTCAGCTTCAATAAGTTAAGTTTAGTTCAACTGAGTTTAGTCGATCAATCAGAACAGACCCTTAATTAATTGGTTTTGCGTGCTATTGTACTTCGACTCATCATTTCAGACTTTCAGTCTTAATTTTTATACTCGATTGTGTGTTTTATATATACTCATCAACACTTAAACATGGATATGAACTATGAAATTCTTAAATATAAAAATTATAAATACGTTGTACAAGGTATTAAATGGTCAAGTCTTAAAATTGTCAAGTCCCTTCATGTTAGTTATAGATATATTGCTTTATAATTATTATTAGCCTTATAAAATTAATTAAATTAATTACAACAAATTACACCACCACTAATCTAAAAAAAAAGAGCAAATATTATTAATTTGGTTCTATAAAAACAAGAATAAAA